AATACTTCGTTCGATGGTTTTACAACGAAACATACTCACTATATATTTACTATACTATATATTTATATATATATATATATATGATATACAGTATTGGAAGAATGTACGAACATCGATAACTCGAGATTCTGTTAAAAGTGATTTCTTGGAGGGAAATTTTTCTTCGCAAGAAATTAAATAATTAAACGTAGAAGCGAATAGGTAGAAAAATATTATAATTTTAAAATTGGAAGAAATAGGGAAATTTTCGAATACTTTCCTTTTAAAAGTTTTTTGAAATTGTTAAGCGATCGTTTGGACGTACGGAATGAAATTAAAGCGAGCGATACGAAGCGATTAACTTTCCACGTTGGATCCCGTTTAATTTTATTTAACTAACTTTTTAACGTTATTCCGATTTAACACGGGCCGATTAATTGGCAACGATTTCGATGGGACTCGTAACTATTTATGGGGGATTAAATGGGATACTTTAAACAATGCTCCCCCTATAGCTACGATTTAGTATATAATCACCGAACAAATTATTATGTCGGTTTATTAGGTAATAATGGTTAAGTAAACGCGCCAATGTAACGCGTTTATATATCGTTTGGTAAATTTAACGCGTGTACGTAACCGTGACGATAATCGTGAATCGTGTAAACGATTCGAGTCGACGTGTAATTCTATTTGTATTGTTCTCCTTGACAGGAGAAGAAAATAGATTTTTTAGAGTAATCGAAATATTTTTTTTTTTTTCATTTTAATTCGATCAAACCGATAATTTACAAAGTTGAATTAAAATGTTAACACTTCGTCCGATGGTTTTACAACGAAACATATACTGCTTTCCAATTACAGTTTACGAATCGAGAAAATTCGTCTCTTTCAGATTTTTTTTTTCGATTTATTTAACGACCATCTTGCGTCATCGTAACATAAGATAACACGATACGATTACGATTAATTAAAAAATTCTGTGTTCAAAAAATCAAATACAGAAGACATTCCTCCATAACGCGGAAATATTCCACGGATTGATAACGAAAGCCAGAAAATTGTTGAAGTAATTAAAACGGTATTCTGCCTGCACGAGATGGAAATACGCGATGCAATTAGCGTGACAACCGCTTTTCATCCCTCGGACACCACGTTAAAAAGACACTATATCTCTCTCTCGTGGAATTATCCTCGACTCGAGGGGGCGGACAAAAAAAAAAAAAAAGAAAAGAGAACGGTATATGAAACGGCTTGAAACGGCGAAAGAAATTCACAGAGATTGTAATTTCAAATATCGAATAGATTTCCTCTCTTTTCATCTTTCTTTCTTTCCTTTTTTTTTTTTCTTTTTAATCGTCACAAATAAAGTACTCAACACGAGGCAAGGATAAAACGAACGACACGTTTCTAGGGCATTATTGCATCATTATCGTTATTTACAAGCTTCCCAGAACGCGAAAGATGTGACTCTCTATTAAACCCACGTGCAACATAACCCGACTCGATACTCTATCGGTAAAACGGGTGAGCACTAACCGCTCGATAAGTATCTGAATTCACACGGAACGACGAGGGGCAGTGCGTTGGAGAGAGACAGAGAGTGGTGGATGCTCGGTTATAAGAAGCAGGCTTAGATAAATACAAAGCGGAATGGAACGCCGCTATTAATTCCGACGACCCTAAGATAGACTCCCCCAGCTCCCAAAGCCCCCCTTTAGCCCCATCTAGGGGCTAGAATAATTGTTAGTAGTAACGATATATCTCGGCTCTAGGTATGTGAGAATAACAGCGTCTACCGCGCGCTACGGGATGCTTAATTAAACGTTCGTGTTAATTGCTGGGACTTGGCGTCAACCTCTCGACTCGGCTCGCGCTATTCCAACCGACGCCTTACTAACTTTCGGTTACCATCGCCTCCCCGAATGAAACGTCGTCCATTCTTCTGTTCTTCGATCAGATTCTTTTTTTTTTCTTTTATATCGAAAGAGTTTTGACACTTTGCGAAAATTATATTTAATTAGCAGGGAAAAAGGTCGATAGAAACGCAGAGATAACTTAAGATACGTTTTTCGTTGAATCGGTACGATACAACGAGATGAAGATTTTTCGAAATAGGCGAAACACGAAAATATATACGGCATATTTTATCGTGTAACTCGAGTAAGAGAGAGTTTAAGGGAATATAACTGCATAAGAATGTTCTAGAATCCGGTCTTTCTGAATCCAGTGAAATATATAAGCGTGGAAAAACTTTTGGGAAGGTTATAGGAGCTTCCAACAAGTTGACACCGCGAAACTTGTTTTCTTGAAACAAATGAAAAATCGATATGAGTTACGTAAATTATAATTAACCAGTGGTGCTCAATCGTCGCGTTGAACGTTAAATACTTTTATTTTTTTTTTTCAATTTCTAGATATTATTCGATGGATCTGGATAGGATATTCTGGTTGTTTAAAGCATTAAAAGGAAATTGTATGAATAATCGTTTCGATTAGAGTTCTAACTAGAATTCGTTTAAGCGCAGCCAATTTCTCTGGCACAGAGACGCATATTGGTTTAGCTTCTGCGCAGCATAACCGTTTTCTCTATCGGCCGAGTCCAATCAAAATGCGTTAGATGCCTTCGTAACGGAAATAGTATCTTGCGAAGTCTTTGAGGTTAAAATTGTTGTTGCTTCGATTGGAAATAATTTATTGGAAATTCCCGAATTTCATGGCTTGTCTTTCCAAATATCTACACTCCTTTGTATCTGAGACTGTTTGCGTCCATCCAGAATTAAGATCATTTTCGTTCTTCGATTCGACCACGAATCACTAAAGTTTCGCTTGTTAATTATTCTTCGATCGATTACAAAAGAACTGGAGGAGTATCTAGCAGAGTAAGAAGTTTTCGAAGAAACTTTTTCCAATAGTTAAGAAACGTTTAAATTTCAATGTTATAACGGATATTAATATCTCGAAACATCTATTTTGATTTAAATCGTTGTAAATTATCCATAAGTTCTTTTTCTTTTTGTAAATTAAGCTTAAATAATTAATTCATGTTAGAAATTCACAAAGTGCAATGATTTGTCGATGATTTTTTATACATTCCACGTCGTTCCATCTGTGAGAGAAGAATATAAAGAAGTAATGAAAATATGAAAAATAGAAACTTACTACTCTTTTTTTACCGCCATATTTGATTCGCAAAACTTTGCAAAACTATATTAAAATTAATTTCAATGTTTACAGTTGCCTATGACATATATTATAGGATATATTCTTAATATAACCATTGATATTTATGGATTATTAATTTATTAATTTATTATGGAAATTAATTTTAGGCTATCTTGTATATGTTGTATAATATATATGCATTTCCATCGTATTTATTTATTATATTTTGGAAAAATAAGTAATAATGATATTCTTAATTTTAGTTGGCAATTTTTTTATTTCTTTTAATCAATTGAAGGATCAGTCTTTTTACAGTGCTTTTTTAATTTTCAGTTTTAACATTTTTATTGTTATTTCATTAAATTATTACTGTTTATATATATCTGGCTCATATCTATCATTTACTTCTTTTTTTCCTTCACAAGGAGTTCTTCTTTCAACTTTCCTTGAAGTTT